ATGTCTGTGGTAAGGGAGGTAAGCGATTCTTGAATTTCGAACATCCTTCTTCGATGTTTAGTATATCTCAAAGGTATAGGAAAACAGAACAGAGCATATATACGCATGTACATGTAGATGTACTGTAATAGTAAAGAGTTAAAACGTGCTTTGTCAATATTCGGAGACTGTTGCTCATGTTGGTGATCGTTGGTCGAGGTTTTTTCAACATTGATCCAGCCCTCAACTCAAGCTGGCTTATTTTGTACTGTTTCAAACACCGATGTATAGCGTACTTGCATTTCACAAAGGCGGCCGGTGTTCGATTCCTTGATCGGAGGTGAAAAGGTTTGGGGTCATCTGCCCGGCGACGTGGGTTTTCCCCGGGTACTCCGGTTTCCTCCCACAATCAGACACTCCACGCCCTAACATCGGGTCCACCAAGAGTGATTAACATGATTTGAAATAACTTGTTTCATAATTATTGTAAAATGAATATATCAATATATTAAACATTGTTGCATTTGTGTTTTAATGTTATGCTGTTTTACATGACATGTTCGTGTGTACTTTCTTTCGTGGTTGGAGCTTTCAAATTATTTCGTGGGTACAAACGTTCGTGGTTAGCCCGTACAACGAAATGTATCCACCATTGCGAGAATCATTGGTCCAACACTGTAACACATGTATGTATGTTTTAATGACTAAAAGTCACTCATTATACTACACTGTTCATGTCAAACAATGAAACTAATTATCACACAGGTAAAGTGAACATGTCCATTTCAGTAACAACATAACGTTATTTTAAATGAATTATTCAATTATATTAAAATATTCATTTGTGTATCGCTGTGTCAATATCACACGAAAATGTAAAATTGGTATATAAATTATAATAGGAACACGGTCTGATGGAATGCGGAAATGTAAATTTGCGGCAAAAAAATGCGTACATTTTATAATTACAATTACTTAAAGTTCATATAATTTTCACATTTTCGTTGTGTACATTCTTTCGAATAGTAGACATATTAGTTGTTTTTATATTCGTGGTTTCATAGCAACCAACAAAACCACGGAGGTTTATACACAACGAACATTTTATGTTACACAGTATGCGGGCGTTGATGTAACATTTTTTAAAATTTTAATTTGACCGGATTAGCCGTTCTAAATATTAAGAATATCATACATGTACATACAGTCAGAACATCATACATGTACACTCAGTCTTAACATCATACATGCACATACAGTCTAAATATCATACATGTACAACATACAACCTGAACATCATACATGTACACACAGTCTAAACATCATACATGTACATACAGTCCGAACATCATACATGTACATACAGTCCGAACATCATACATGTACATACAGTCCGAACATCATACATGTACATACAGTTCGAACATCATACATGTACATACAGTTCGAACATCATACATGTACATACAAACCGAACATCATACATGTACAAAATACATTCCGAACATCATACATGTACATAGAGTCTAAATATCATACATGTACATACAATCTGAACATCATACATGTACATACAGTCCGAACATTATACATGTACAACATACAGTCCGAACATGATACATGTACATACAGTCCGAACATCATACATGTGCATAAGTCCGAACATCAAACATGTACATACAGTCCGAACATCATACATGTACAAACAGTCCGAACATCATACATGTACATACAGTCCGAACATCATACATGTAGATACAGTCCGAACATCATACATGTACAAACAGTCCGAACATCGTACATGTACAACACACAGTCCGAACATGATAATGTACATACAGTCCGAACATGATGCATGTACATACAGTCCAAACATCATACATGTACATACAGTCCGAACATCATACATGTACATAAGTCCGAACATCAAACATGTACATACAGTCCGAACATCATACATGTACAACACACAGTCCGAACATGATAATGTACATACAGTCCGAACATGATACATGTACATACAGTCCGAACATCATACATGTACATACAGTCCGAACATCATACATGTACATACAGTCCGAACATCATACATGTACATACAGTCCGAACATCATACATGTACATACAGTCCGAACATCATACATGTACATACAGTCCGAACATCATACATGTACATACAGTCCGAACATCATACATGTACATACAGTCCGAACATCATACATGTACATACAGTCCGAACATCATACATGTACATACAGTCCGAACATCATACATGTACATACAGTCCGAACATCATACATGTACATACAGTCCGAACATCATACATGTACATACAGTCCGAACATCATACATGTACATACAGTCCGAACATCATACATGTACATACAGTCCGAACATCATACATGTACATACAGTCCGAACATCATACATGTACATACAGTCCGAACATCATACATGTACATACAGTCCGAACATCATACATGTACATACAGTCCGAACATCATACATGTACATACAGTCCGAACATCATACATGTACATACAGTCCGAACATCATACATGTACATACAGTCCGAACATCATACATGTACATACAGTCCGAACATCATACATGTACATACAGTCCGAACATCATACATGTACATACAGTCCGAACATCATACATGTACATACAGTCCGAACATCATACATGTACATACAGTTCGAACATCATACATGTACATACAACCCGAACATCATACATGTACATACAGTCCGAACATCATACATGTACAAACAGTCCGAACATCATACATGTACATACAGTCTGAATATCATACATGTACATACAGTCCGAATATCATACATGTACATACAGTCCGAACATCATATATCATGTATTACATCTCTGATAACGACTATTAGCTGCCACTAGATAAATAACGACGTGACACATTTTTACGATATGTATACGATATTCCACTCCATATTTGATATAGTTTGATTCCGTAATACACGCTTAAGTTTGACAAACCTATAATAGATACTGTACACTTAAAATAACTAAATCCAGTTGAAAGATAATTTTTGTTATCTTTTTTTGTTACAATTGTTCTTTTTTTTAATGCTCGTTCCTGTTCACATGTTTCAAGCAATATCATGGTAGGCGATATTTCAGAGATACAAAAAAAAGCTCTGACATTTATACTTACATTTATACCCCCCCCC